CCTCCCTTATTGGCATGAATGTAGAAGAAGGCTTTAGAGCGCTGGGTCGCTCTGTGGTGTTTGCGGGTAATGAGCTCCGCTAGCTGGCGTCGGGTTGCAAGTAAAGTACGGTATTGAGCGTCCAGTTGCGTTCATTTGTGACGGGCTTCCAATTTCTATCCTTATAAAGTGTCCCTGGAGGGCACTCTTGTGGGCTTCCCATAGTATCACACTTGACATGTCCTCTGTGTTGTTCTCAGTAAAGTATTGGTTTAAGTGTTCCGTCAGCTGTGCCTGGACCTCCAGGTCTGAGAGGAGAGGAGTCTCCATGCCATCTGGATGGGATATTTCTAAAGAAAAGTGTTTGCATTTAAGTTTGCGCAAGAGATGGGAGCACTTTTCGCGCGTGTTTAGGCCCCTGCAGTTCTGTGTTGTGATGCGGAAGGGTGTGGCTGCATTTGCCATAAGGGCGAGTCTAGGAGTATGGATACCGTGCTGTGGTCTGACCATGGTGTTGGGAGTTTCTCTGCCTTCTGTAGTCTTTGGAGACCTTCTTGTTGGCTGAAAAGATAGTTGATGCACAACTGTGTATGGCCGAGTAGTGTGTGTAGTCTCGGCTTTATGGGTGTCCAGGCATCCACCAGCCTCAGGTCACGAAGGGTTCTGCGAATTGTTTTGATCGCCATTTGTGGGATGCTGCTGTGTCCAGTTGATGAGTCCAAAAGTGGGTCTAAAGGCATGTTGAAGTCCCCTCCGAGAATTAGTGTTCCTTCCGTAAAGTTGGTGAGCTTAAAGAGTGTTTTGAATTTAGCTTGTTTCGCATTTGGGGCATATATTGAGGCAAATGTGTACGTTTTCTGTGACACCGTACCTTTTACAAAAAGATATCTGCCCTCAGGGTCTGCTAGCATTTCGATCAGGGAGAATTGTAGACTGGTATCTAAGAGGATCACTACCCCTGTCTTGCGTGCAGTAGGGTGATTACTGTGGTGGTTTGATAATTTCTATCTTTCAACCTATGTGTTTCTGTTGCTCTGAGGTGTGTTTCTTGTAACATTTCTAAAGAAAAGTGTTTGCATTTAAGTTTGCGCAAGAGATGGGAGCACTTTTCGCGCGTGTTTAGGCCCCTGCAGTTCTGTGTTGTGATGCGGAAGGGTGTGGCTGCATTTGCCATAGTGTGAGCGTTGATGTTTGCGCGGGACTTAAGTGTGTTCAAAGCTGTGTGTATCCCAACTTCTGGAGCTCTTACACACCCTGGGCACGGGCAAAGAATAGAACGAAAGGACAGAGGGGGTTCAGAGGCAGTGTCACCCGGCTGCGGGCCACCGTCGGGGGAGCAAAGAGAAGGGAGAGTAAAGGGAGGGGGAGCAAAAGAGGGAAATCTGTGAAGTCTATGGGATCACCCATTCACCGCCCCCTTCCCGACTGGGCTGTACGGTGTTCGGGAGAGTCCCACCTGGGCAAATAGGAATGTCAGTTGAGGGGTTATTCAACAAGTCTGGTTCCAAACGGGTCTGGGAGTTCACCGGTAGTCTGGTCACTCTCGGGTGACCGCCTCAAATATTAGGTCCCTAACTCAATATGAGGGTACCTGTGTAACTGGGTGGGATATCTGAACCGTACCGTCTCCTAGTATAGACTCGAGCAGCCACGGAAGTGTTTCCCCCAGTAGTCTAGGTATACACAGGTTGGGTTGGGGATGTTGGTCCATTATCGATTGTAGCGAGTGTCTGCAATTATGTAGGTGTGTGTATATGAGTTAAGGTGGTACAGTGTGTGGGAGCCTCTGTGACTCTCATGTCCCACTTAAGTCTAAGTTGATTCCTTTTGCTAACCGGCATCTAGTTGCAGGCTGTGAGGAAACGGTTCAAGTGGGTTGAAGCTATACTTGGGGTATTGGCCCTGGTGTGGTGGGCTGCATATATCCCAGATATTGGCTAGTCAGCGGTCTGCCCAGGGCTCTGTTTGCCCTCGTCTGGTCTACTCTTGTAGGGGGAAATGTTGTTGCGGTTAACAGTGCGTGGTTGGGAATAACATTGTGAGGTTTCATGTGTCTCTCATGTGTGGGTAGTTGGTGAGGGGTCCCAGAGAGAGAACGGTGAGGTGGGAAGGCACAACACATTTTCAATACACAATGTAGCAAACATGAACCCTTGTGCCTGATCTACCCAGCCCCTCATCTCTGCTCCCTTCCGCCTATACCACCACCCCCCTTCCCATTTCCCTTTCACCGACCTTCCTAGGTGGCTAAGGTCTTGAATGTGATCTCTCAACTTATCCCAATTCTGTTCAAGATATTCTCCCTCAGTGTTTTGAGACCCTCAGTTAGTCCACCCCTCCTAGCTCCACCCACCTTTGTTGATTTTGTCCTACATAACAAAACATTTCGTTTCCAACAACCCCTAATAACAGTTCTCCTCCCCACCCCAGTCAGTGTTTAACAACATTAAAGTCATATCTCGCCGTGCAGGTTTACGAATTCCGCTTTGGTGGGTGCCTTTAGTATCTAGGAACCTGGAACCATAGAGTGTCTCTGGTGTATAGGGCCATCTTTTAATGTGCAGAGATACCCGTGTCTCCTATTAAATCCCCCTTTGCAGCGTCCAATATAGGGGACCTGGTAAAATCCCCCCGAGTCAGCCGCATTCCTGTCTAGCTGCCTCCATCCCCCTATAGGCCCCAGCCCAAATGGAAGTTACGGCTTGTCCTATTAACTCCAACTCCGAGCCTTAGAGGTGTTGCCTAGGGTTCTTATATGGGTGCTAGAGTTAGGGACCCCTAATGGGTATTAATGGGTATGTGCACAAGACAGGACTTATCTGTTCTCTCCGGTCTCTGGTCTCTCAATAGGGTCTCTATCAGGATGGGTGCATGACAGTCTCGCCTGGCTTGTGGTCTCAAGGAGGGGGCCACCTGCTTTCACTCCACCGGGTCAGCCGGTGCAAGTTGTCTGCGGGCCGTTGGGCGTAGTGGTGTGTTGTCTCTGCGCCGTCGATGTTGTCCAGGTGTTTGTGGCCCCAGCCGTTGCTCTAATGGTTCAAAGACCCAGTTTGTAACTTCTGTAGGTGGCAGTCCAAGCTGTTGTAGTTATCTAGGTACCTCTTCTGGCCAGCGTAGGGGGATCCACTCGTTGTGGTGTCTTGCGAGTAAAAAAGGGGAAGGGGAATCCCCATTTATTTGGAATTCCTTGTGGGCCTCCAGTGTTAGGCGTGACAGATCTTGGTATAGAGCTACCTCTGCATCATGGAACCTCCACAGTGGTCTCGAGCAAGCTTTAGCCATAATTCTTTCCTTTAGTTTATAGTTATGTAAGCAGCATATGATATCTCTTGGTGTGCTGTCTGCTGTGCGTAGTCTTTGCTCCGTGTGCTCTGTCGAATTCCATGGATTACGGCGCATCTGCCCCTAGTATTTCCTGGAATAGGGCCTTCAGTGTGGCCTCCACTTATTCCTCCTCTGTGGGTTCTGGTAGTCCACGAACACGGATGTTAGATCTGTGGCCTCTGTTGTCTAAGTCTTCTGTTTGGCATCTCAGTGCAAGCAGCATGTTTCCCTGTCTGGCAATTGCTAGGGTTGATGCCGCTTCCTGTGCTGCTGTAGCTTGCATGGTAGTTTCCACTGTCTGGATTCTGCTGCTATGTGCCGTGATTTCTGCTCTGAGTGCGGTTACTTCTGTGCTATAGAAGCTGGCGTCTTCTCACTGTAAAAATCACAGTGAGAAGCGCGGAAGCGCCTCTAGCGGCTGTCAATCAGACAGCCACTAGAGGCTGGATTAACCCTATTATAAACATAGCAGTTTCTCTGAACCTGCTATGTTTATAGAAAAAAGGGTTAATCCTAGCTGGACCTGGCACCCAGATCACTTAATTAAGCTGAAGTGGTCTGGGTGCCTATAGTGGTCTTTAAAAATAACTAGGTTGCATATTTTTTTTTCCAGTCAACTATTTCAGTGTATATTTATCAGCTGCCTACCCTTCCCCCTCAAATAACTAATATAGTGCATCTCAATGTAATACTCGTGAAATAAAACTATTCACAACTAGAGTGATGTTCTAGCTGGATGTTCGGGTCCGGTGGGTTCGGCCAAACTTTGAAGAAAAGTCCGGGTTCGGGCTCGACTTGACCCCGAACTTGGCCCCCGAACCAGAACCCCATTGAAGTCAATGGGGACCCGAACTTTTGGGCACAAAAATGGCTCTGAAAAAGTCCTGGAAAGGGCTAGAGGGCTGCAAAAGGAAGTAAAAAGTGCCCTGCAAACAAATGTGAATAGGGAAATCACTTAAAATAACATAAAACTTAAAAATACAGCTGAGCCATAAAATAGCACCAAATGGAATCTTTGATTTTAGCTTTGGAAGAACATAAATCAAAATCTAAAGCATGGCTGTCAGGAGGATCACCAGAATTATCCATTTGAGAGAGGGTTGGCGTGCAGGGTATTCTCTTTCATTGTTCAAACTGAGCTCAACTCCTGATGCATGGCGAAAAGGCCTTCACAAGCCTCTGCTATTGTGTACATAGTTTATACTAAGTGACCCATAGGTTGAGGAGGTGGTGACCGTGGCGGTGTAGGTGAAAGCAGCGGTGGAGGGAGGGGGAGCAAAAGAGGGAAATCTGTGAAGTCTATGGGATCACCCATTCACCGCCCCCTTCCCGACTGGGCTGTACGGTGTTCGGGAGATTTTTACATATATACATTTTTTTTTTTTTAATTGGGGTAGCCCCCAAAATATTGGGACATATAAAAAAGAAAACTGTTCCTCAGAGCAACTGACCGATGTGTGATGCATCTGAAACTCCACTATCGTCTGGCACAGTCTCATGAGGCGGTGAGCGGGAAGGCCGAAGTTACACTGCAGCGCAGACAGGCGAGCAGCAGCAGGGTGAGAATGCCGAAAGCACGCACAGACGGCCCGCACTTTCTGCAGCAGCTCTGATATATCTGGGTATACACCGTGGCATCACAAGGACCACCCAGAACTGGCTCAACTCCCATCAAGCCAAGTTCCCGGAGGAGATCACCCAGCTCCCCATGCTAGAGCACTTTTTCAATGTGCTCCCCAGTGACAAGGCGACGACGCATTCGTATGTCAATCCTTATCAACTTTCGATGCCATTTACTGCGCCTACCATGGTGACCATGGGTAATGGGGAATCAGGGTTCGATTCCATACAGGGACCCTGACAAATGGCTACCGCATGCAAGGAAGGCAGCGGGCGCGCAAATGACCCACTCCCGACACCGGGGAGGTAGTGACGACAAATAACAATACAGGACTCTTTAGAGGCCCTGTAATTGTAATGAGTCCACTTGAAATCTTTTAACTCTGATCAATAGGAGGGTAAGTCTGGTGCAGAGCGACTGACCCGTGCGTGCTGCAGCTGAAACTCCACTATCGTCTGCTGCTTCTTGCACAGTCTCTCCAGCATGTGCAAGGTGGAGTTCCACCTTGTGGGCATGTCGCATATGAGGCGGTGAGCGGGAAGGCCAAAGTTACGCTGCAGCACAGACAGGCGAGCAGCAGCAGGGTGAGAAAGCTCAAAGCGCGCACAGCCGCTACAGTGAATGTCACATCCTGTTCCAAGTTGCGGATCAGTCTGGTGATGGCTTCTGGTATCCAGTACTCTTTTTACTGAAGCTGCATCAGGGTCCTGGTATGTGGCCGCACAAACGCTGGTACACAACACCAGGGGGCATGCGGTTACCGTGCACCAGACCCTGCTAATCCATTCCACACTGTGACTCCTAACTTCAACATCAGGTATACTGGGTCCCAGTCGTCCGACCGCCACCCAGACAGTGTCTGGGTCCCGGTCACCGGACTGCGAAACTGCGAATGGCTCGTTAAATCTGTTATGGTTCCTTTTATTGCTCCATCTGTTACTTGGATAACTGTGGGAATTCTAAAGATAATACATGCTGACGAGCGCTAGGGGACGGCGGCTCCGCTTTTGCACCCTGCTCCCTCTTATGCTGTGCTGGTGCCTCTGTGCGACCAGCGCCTCTTCCTCCAAACTGCACTCGCATGACCTTGATTCCATGTGGGGTTTAGGACCTCATCATCTTCCACATCATCTTCCACCCACTCCTCAACCCTGCCCTCATTGCCAGTCTGCACACTGCAGAAAGCCACAGCAGTTGGCACCTGTGTTTTTCCAGCATGTAAAGTCTGCAAAGGATATATGGAAATTGTTTTAGAATTGTATCCAGGCAACAGTTCTCCCTATAAACGGACCTCTCAGTGTGACTTGTGAGGGTATTGCCCCCGAATTACAATATTGTTATATTGGTATTTGACGCTTCTATTTGACTCTCAGATATGAAGAGCACGTCCAAAATGTACTATTTAGCAGTTTAGCAGCAAAACAATTAGATTGATTACAACTGCGCTGTAAGCGCTCTATTTGATGCTTCTATTTGACTCTCAGATATGAAGAGCACACCCAAAATTTACTATTTAGCAGTTTAGCAGCAAAACAATTAGAATGTTTACAAATGCGCTGTAAGCGCACTATTTGATGCTTCTATTTGACTCTCAGATATGAAGAGCACGCCCAAAATGTACTATTTAGCAGTTTAGCAGCAAAACAATTAGAATTTTTACAACTGCGCCGTAAGCGCACTATTTGACACTTCGATTTGATTCTCAGATATGAAGAGCAGGCCCCAAAATGTACTATTTAGCAGATTAGCAGCAAAACAATTAGAATTATTATTTTTTTTTTTATTCTTTATTTTTGCTCGTGCATAGAATTACAGTGGATCCTGCATCGCCACAACAGCGAATGCAAGGGTTGCAGTACATTTAATGACACATGTTGAGTAGCACTGAAAACTGTTAGAGATATTACTTTGCATCATTTGAGGGATTAGCACTGGTTTTTATATTTAAGGTATTGTAGCTACTTAAACAGTTAAACATAACATAGTAATTCCGAGTAAACCAAGCAGCCGTTTTATATAAGTGACCCGAGTAGATTAAAATAGTGTGGCTGAAAAACATAAACAGAGTAGTAATCATAGGTAAATTAGTAGCCCTGGTGGTTGGTACATCAGAAAACATCAGTCATAGAGGTACATTAAAGGAACACTATGGTCACCTAAATTACTTTAGCTAAAAAAAGCAGTTTTCGTGTATAGATCATTCCCCTGCAATTTCACTGCTCAATTCACTGTCATTTAGGAGTTAAATCACTTTGTTTCTGTTTATTCATCCCTAGCCACACCTCCCCTGGCTATGATTGACAGACCATGAAAAAAAAACTGGTTTCACTTTCAAACACATGTAATTTACCTTAAATAATTGTATCTCAATCTCTAAATTGAACGTTAATCACATACAGGAGGCTCTTGCAAGGTCTAGCAAGATATTAACATAGCAGGGGATAAGAAAATCTTAATTAAACAGAACTTGCAATAAAGAAAGCCTAAATAGGGCTCTCTTTACAGGAAGTGTTTATGGAAGGCTGTGCAAGTCACATGCAGGGAGGTGTGACTAGGGTTCATAAACAAAGGGATTTAACTCCTAAATGGCAGAGGATTCAGCAGTGAGGCTGCAGGGGCATGTTGTTCAGGTGACTATAGTGTCCCTTCAAGTAAGGCTTCGTTTGCCTATGTGTGGTCTGCATGGGATCATGAACATGAAGTTAAAGGGTGTACGTTATGATGTGCCTCTTATTGTATAAAACTAGTAGTTAGTAGTGATGCACCGAACGGTTCGCTGGCGAATAGTTCCCGGCGAACATAGCATGTTCGCGTTCGCCACGGCGGGCGAACATATGCGCGGTTCGATCCGCCCCCTATTCATCATCATTGAGTAAACTTTAACCCTGTACCTCACAGTCAGCAGACACATTCCAGCCAATTAGCAGCACACCCTCCCTAGCAGACCCTCCCACCTACTGAAAGGCATCCATTTTACATTCATTCTCAAGCTGCATGCTTAGTGAGAGGAGGGAAAGTGTAGCTGCTGTTGATTAGATAGGGAAATGCATAGCTAGGTTAGGGTATACAATGTCCACTACAGTCCTGAAGGACTCATCTGATCTCTGCTGTAAGGACAGCACCCCAAAAACATCAGTCTGCTTTTTTTTTTTTCTGTGTAATGTAATTGCAGTTAGTTGTCTGCCAGCTTCTGTGTAAGGCTCACAGTGGATACTGTGCCCAGTGCCACCACTCACTCACTGGTGTCACAATAGCTTGCATTTAAAAACAAAAAACTTTTTTTACTGTTATAGATTGAATAGCAGTCAGTGTCCTTAAAGCGGGTGTGTCAGGCTCACAGTGAATACTGTGCCAAGTGCCACCACTCACTCACTGGTGTCGCAATAGCTTGCATTTAAAAACAAAAAACTTTTTTCACTGTTATAGATTGAATAGCAGTCAGTGTCCTTAAAGCGGGTGTGTTAAGCTCACAGTGGATACGGTGCCCAGTGCCACCACTCACTCATATCTGGTGTCACAATAGCTTGCATTTAAAAACAAAAAACTTTTTTCACTGTTATAGATTGAATAGCAGTTAGTTGTCTCAAAGCGGGTGTGTCAGGCTCACAGTGGATACTGTGCCAGTTCACAGTGCTACTCATATCTGGTGTCATAAAAGCTTGCATTTAAAAACAAAAAACTTTTTTCACTGTTATAGATTGAATAGCAGTTAGTTGTCTCAAAGTGGGTGTGTCAGGCTCACAGTGGATACTGGGCCCAGTGCCACCACTCACTCACTGGTGTCACAATAGCTTGCATTTAAAAACAAAAAACTTTTTTCACTGTTATAGATTGAATAGCAGTTAGTTGTCTCAAAGCGGGTGTGTCAGGCTCACAGTGGATACTGTGCCAGTTCACAGTGCTACTCATATCTGGTGTCATAATAGCTTGCATTTAAAAACAAAAAACTTTTTTCACTGTTATAGATTGAATAGCAGTTAGTTGTCTCAAAGTGGGTGTGTCAGGCTCACAGTGGATACTGGGCCCAGTGCCACCACTCACTCACTGGTGTCACAATAGCTTGCATTTAAAAACAAAAAACTTTTTTCACTGTTATAGATTGAATAGCAGTTAGTTTTTTTTTGTTTTTTGTTTTTTGTAAAATAGCAGTTAGTTGTCTCAAAGCGGGTGTGTCAGGCTCACAGTGGATACTGTGCCAGTTCAGAGTGCCACTCATATCTGGTGTCATAATAGCTTGCATTTAAAAACAAAAAAAAGTTTTTCACTGTTATAGATTGAATAGCAGTTAGTTGTCTGCAAGCGTCTGTGTGTCAGGCTCGCAACGTATACTGTGCCCACTTGCCCAGTGCCACCACTCACTCACTGGTGTCACAATAGCTTGCATTTAAAAACAAAAAACTTTTTTCACTGTTATAGATTGAATAGCAGTTAGTTGTCTCAAAGCGGTGTGTCAGCCCTACAGCGTGTACTCTGCCAGTTCACAGTGCCACTCATATCTGTTGTCATAATAGCTTGCATTTAAAACCCAAAAACTTTTTTCACTGTTATAGATTGAATAGCAGTTAGTTGTCTCAAAGCGGGTGTGTCAGGCTCACAGTGGATACTGTGCCAGTTCACAGTGCCACTCCTATCTGGTGGCACATTAGATTGCACGCGCAGTGCCCCAAATTTGAAGAAGGAGGACCGACCAAGCATCCTTTTCCATCTCCCAGTTCCTAAAATCGATGCCATATACACGTCCTCTGATAGGGGACGTAACAGGGATTAAAATGATAAGAATAGTACTACTTAACACACCTCTCCTATCTGTTGGCATATTAGATTGCACGCGCAGTGCCCCAAATTTGAAGAAGGAGGACCGACCAAGCATCTTTTTCCATCTCCCGGTTCCTAAAATCGATGCCATATACACGTCCCCTGATAGAGGACATAACAGGGATTAAACTGATAAGAATAGTACTACTTAACACACCACTCCTATCTGGTGGCACATTAGATTGCACACGCAGTGCCCCAAATTTGAAGAAGGAGGACCGACCAAGCATCTTTTTCCATCTGCCGGTTCCTAAAATCGATGCCATATACACGTCCCCTGATAGGGGACATAACAGGGATTAAACTGATAAGAATAGTACTACTTAACACACCACTCCTATCTGGTGGCACATTAGATTGCACGCGCAGTGCCCCAAATTTGTTGTGATCTGTGAGTAAGGTAAACGGTTGTCCATACAAGTAAGGTTGCAGCTTTTTGAGGGCCCACACCACCGCCAGGCACTCCCTTTCAATGGCAGTGTATCTACTTCCCTGGGCA